AGCTGGTGATATTGGAATGTTACTACTAATAAATGGAAAGTTAACAATCGGAAAGTCAAAGTGTCAAAGTCGTCACGTTTATCGTACAATTTAACACGTATGGCAATTGTAAAAATCGAGACGCAGATCCAAGTAGGAAGCGTAGTTGTCACTGTCAGTAGCAGTGCCGGACTGGTGGGCCGAAGGCCTACACAAGTACCCGCCGAAGGCGTGTCACGAGCGCGGTCCGAGGGGGGTCTTTGGGGCTCTCCCCCCAGGAAAATTTTGAAAATTGACAACCACAAACCCATTTTCCAAGCATTTCAGACCAAAGCAGAAGAAGGCAAATGTTTGATTTTCTGATACAATTAGATAACAGAATGACCTAAGAGCACTATCATTAGATAAATTTGAGAATTCTAGTACACTTCTTTTTTTGTGTTGTTTGTCATTTTTTTCCCCTATCTTTTCTTTCTCCTGTCCTGTCTCCTGTCCTCTCCTTTCTTTTTCTTTTCTTTTTTCTTTCTCTTTTTTCTTTATAGGCTTAAGCCCACTTTTTTTAATGAGCTTAGGCCCACCTGTCACGGACAGGTGGACAGGTGGACCCAGTCCGGCACTGGTCAGTAGTGTTTTTAATTTCGAGCTCATCAGGATATATGAATTCTACATAATCACTAAATTTTGGATTATTCAGTGATAGAACATCATCGATATATCGATAAGTGAAATTAAAATGTTTGACTAATCGTTTATTTGATTTTACGAGTGCCTGTATGTAATCGGCTTCGTAGGAATAGAGAAACAAATCAGCAAGCAAAGGTGCACAGTTGGTGCCCATGGGGATACCTACCACTTGCTGATAAATTTCCCCTCCAAATTCAACAAAGATATTTGCAATTAAAAAATCCAACATCTGAATTATCTTGTTGGCGGTGAATTTATTTTTGGAATCACTATGGTTCTTAACAAAATATGTGGAATTGTAATTAACAACTAAATATTGATATCTAACATTTCCCGATTTAGATGAAAAGACATTAGCTTGTCAACGACCTCCACATCATGAATAAGTTTAGAATTACGACAAGCAACCCAGTTCAAAGTGTGCCCTGACCGATATGTTTATTGTGTAATAGTTTGTACCAGGTCATGAATATCCTTAAGTTCACAGAAACGTTTTGAAAATTTGTTAATATGAGAATCAAAATGCACATTAGCCAATGAAACGGTCTGTTACGGCGACATTTTGGCGTGAAGTACACGGAACTGTGGGTAACCCACTAGAAACATCAACGCTGATTTGTTAATCAAATGGTTGACGTCATAGGGTCAAAAGCCGCTCGTATAACCTCCGACGCTACCTTTCACTACAACCGATCAGATCATCATGTAGTAGAGGCCGTCGAATGTATGAAAGAAACGAAATAAAATATAGATCTGTATTTTATTCAGATTGCACCACACCCACACATTGCAACTATTCCTAGGAAATATGGTGTAGTGACTCAACCCATGGGTAATTTTGAAAGACTTTATTCAACTGCTGTGAGTTCTCTGCTGACAAAATGTATTCTTCTTCAAAATGTTTGGTAGATAATGGTGGAAATACAGTTTCATTTACCCATAAAGGCATATCTAATTCCAAAACCAGCTGACATTCCTTTATCTAAGTCTTCAGCGCTGATAATATCATCTTATAGTTTTAGAGAAAAAAAAATCCATTAGACCATGGAGAATCGAATTGCTAGAAAAACCGTGGGCCAACAAGACTTATTTGGAGACTGGTTGAAAGAGGTGATTTTTAAGTGTCGTCAACGTCAAGTTATCTATTTTATGATGTTACCTGAAAAGCTATATTGGTAAATTGTATATAACTGTCTGAAGTTTGGTTATTGGATCTGAACCATCAAGCACCGTCCAAGTGAATGTAGTTTTCCCTTTCATTTTGTAGAACACTTTTATTATTTTTGGAAACATATTTAAGATTGGGATAGCATTTTCTAAATGAGAAACATATCCAAATATCAATTATTTTTATGGTCTTGATTTTAAATATCCCATATTGCGCGGATGTTGTTCTAATTTAATTAATTAGTTTTTAACCTATCAACGTCGTCCAATTTTTAAAATTTTGGATGGAAACAATTTGCCGTTTCGAGAACTTTGAGGACAGCCACGAACTTACATAATTTGGTTTTATAATTTATTACATATGAACCAACAAGCATGGCACTAATCTGACGTTTTACTTCAACAACATATTATAGGTTATCAAATTGTTTACAGGCTATAAATATGTCACCATAATAATTGTGAAATAAATGCTTCTAGACAATTAAGTCGACCATTTATCTATTCTTAATTATAATCAAGGTGTGATTGTCTTACATTTATAAGCCTCTAGGCTTCGCCAATTATTGAAAATTGTATTCTACCTATTACAAAGCCATCATTCTCTTTCTTCAAAACTTGACCAATTCTTTCTAAAAGAGATTTGGTTGAAGGAACCACGTCATCATCGGTCCAGGGAGCAGGAATAATTTCAACAAGTGGTGCATAATATGGCAGATTTGTCTGTAAATGGTTATGAGTACAAATTTCGAAATACAATTAACGTGACTATTTCTTGTTAACGCGAATGAACTTGATATGAAGCATAGAAGGTGATCCCTATCGACGTTCCGCGTGCCCCGATTTCCTGTTAAGGAGTTACTGACATCGCAATTTCTCGTTAATAGAGGTAAGAGTATTTGCCAGATGTTTTTTTTTTAAATTGGGTGTGAAACCTTGGGGTCGTGACCTGTCGTCCCCCCCCCCTCCTCGGCTTTTCCGAAAAGCTTGTCGACACAATAGAGGTCACAATTTATAACGGATTTTTTTGTTTCAAATATGGTTTAAAGACTTAACCGGATTGATATTTAGCACTCCAAAACCTTTAGTTCCGAAGTTACACCCTTCTATGAAAACCCGATAGACAGACTATTTTCAAATTTGGTGTGAAGCATTGGGTTTTTAGCGCTCCGTGAGTTAATTCCTGGGTCATACCCTCTTTACCGACGAAAACCGTATTAACACGATAGAGACTACAGTTTTTAACTGATTTTGCCCAAATTTGGCGGGGAACACTGGGCTGGAGTTCAAGGACGATCCATGTTAACATTTGACTATCCGAGAACTTCCGTCCCGGAGTTAATCCTTCTCCGAAAACCTTATTAACATGATAAAGGCTACAGCTTTGACGGATTTCTTTCATATCGGGGTCATGAGAGGCTGAACCTTACTGATATTTAGTGTTCAGCGACCTTCCATTCATTTCTAACGTGACACATGCTACAGTTTGTATTGGATTTCTTTCAAATTTGATTTCAGGCATTAGAGTCATAAAAGGACGAATCTTATCGATATTCAGTCGTTAACAATATTCCGTTTCGGACGAACCCCACGTTTTAGAGACTCAAGTTCTTTAATAGATTTATTTTTCAACTTTAGACGATTGACCCTTTTCAAATTTGATGTGAAGCATATTGCAACAGAAAAGGTGAACCCTGTTCATCTTCCGCATTCTAGAACTTTTTGTTCCCGAGATATATTATGTGCCCGGAAAAGCTTGTGACCATGATAGAGATTACATTTCTTGTCATCCTTATCAAAATTAATCAAGCTGCAGTTGAGACATGGCGTTGCTATCTTGCATGTTGAAAGAACATAATTATAGACCGTGCTTGTGTGCTTTCTGTGTATACACAGATCTTGGAATGTCCAAGACAGTAGGTGGATACTGGATTAGAATTAAAATCGTATTACTAAGTAATAAGTTAAATACGAATTTAATTTCCAGCTACATAAAGTAGACTTGTTTCAGTTAATGTTACCGATAAAAGGACTAATCTTACCGGATGTGGTAAAATAAAAAAAACCTTGTGATGCTTCGTACCTTCTGAATCTGTGATGGCAGGAGGCAACTTGTTGAACTAGCCATGATGACATCATCATTGGCAATTTCACCCACTTCTCTCCATCAAACCTCTTCCCCCCACCATGTTGTAACTTCGAATGTATAATAACACGAGATAGTAACGTGTAGATTCGAAGAGAAAACAAATTTTAGAATGAGCTCAAGAACCTAAAATAACCAACCGACCCATATCCTTGCAATTATGTAATAAATATATATATCAGGGTTTATTGTCTTGTCACTATTGGTAGATGGGGGATCACGTGGCTAAGTGGGTAAGACGCTGGCTCGCTAGTCTGGAGGTCGGGTGTTCGATCCCTGCATTGGCCGAGAAAGTTCATTCAGATTTTTCAGCGTGGTTTCCCCTTGTCAGTGATGCAGGACGGAGGGCATGACAAGGACAGCTATCTAGTCGTTCGAATGGGACGAAAAACCGAGGTACCGTGTACACATTGGCGTGCACGTAAAAGATCCCTTGGCAGTTGGAATTCGATATAAGAGTAGGCCGTAGTGCCGCTGCCCGGGCAAAATTTCCCTCATAGCACACTGTATGGCGTATGCCCGTCTTCATTAGCCCAATTTAGGAGCAGAACAGTAGGACGTTAAACCCCATTTCATTTCATTTCTATTGGTAGATTATTTTTAGACAGACCATAATGACGTGGCTGTATTAGCTGGGCCGAGAGGCGCTTAACGAGAATTTTTTATATTTCCCTTTTAGCCCTTTTTGTGAGTCACAAAATCTCATAATTTGAAAGAATGCTTTGGAATGAAATGGGGGTTTAACGTCCTACTCTTCTGCACCAAAGGGGCTATTGAATACGGAAGCATGTCTTTTATTCCACGGCAGAATATGCACTAATTCGTCTTCAGTTGCTTCGAGTCGGCGATTTGTCTTGATTTCAGGTTTCTTTGTTTGAACCAACCGGACTCTGGTGAGATTATAATGATAGTATAGCAAGACCTCTCTTTTGCATCGTATGTCTCTGTATTTAGTATGATTGTGTTCTTCTGATTAGCCTACTAATTATGTTCCAATTAAACATGGTTTGAGGCACGAATATTATTTTCTATTTCCAGTAACATTTATTTAATTGGCAACTTGTTTTTCTGATTCAAACACGTTCAATAATAAAATATTATCAATGTGTAGACAGTATACAAGGTTAAATCTTCAAAGTATTCCTATAAACAAGCATTAATGGTAATTATAAGCTATGATTTAATTAGGCGTACAATATAAACACACAAGCACTAATTAGTTGAATTTAGAATATACAGAATGCGGAGTTGTAAAACCGGCATTATTTTTTCTGATAAATACTAGAACGTGTAAAATTGTTCCGAACGAATGAATTAGCCAATTAATTTATGAGTCATAAATAGAAGCATCTGTAAATCGTTTTAAAGTATTGATAGAAATACTAGAACAGATAATTCATGATGCAGAATCGCCTTTGTCCATTTCTTTCTTTAATTTGGCAAGAGCTGCTAAACGCTTGTCTCGCCATTGTCTTCTTTCGGCAAGACATTCTACGGGACATACATAACTCTCCAGTTCCTTGTGAATCTTGTCTCCCGTTTCACCCCCCATTGGTAATGGCTGTCCAAACGATTTTTGAATTCTGTATACCATTTCAGCATATCTTTCAATATAAGACTTCATACCTACACAAATAATACATTATAGTTAAAAATGCGTTATGTAAGCACGAAATCTGCCCATTGCAGATCTTTCTTTCGGCCTGAAATGTTACATAAATTATTAATAAGCCATTTATTCATATGACAAACCAAAAGTAACTCTCTAGACCATCGGATGGTTGTGATTTTGAACCGATTGAAACATGATCGCCATTTAATAATTTAATTGAAAAATTGATAATCTAGACTTTACTTATTATTGGTATAACGGTAGCAATAAAAATCTAGACTACGCTATTCTTCAAACATTCATAACTTCGCTCCAAATGAAGTAATTTGACTAAAATTGTCAATATATTCCTATTGAATTATTTATTTTTAAACTATTATAGTGAGACTTTATCAAATTCTTACATTATGCATTGCTTAGAGAATTTTTTTTTATAAAGTACATTTACAAATGCACGGATTAATGACATAACTCCTTGAACATTAAAGTAGGCTATAATGTGTACTAATCTTAACGGATCTTAAAACACCTACATGTCTCAAATTTTGTCTAAAAATCTATTTTGAAAACCCGAGGGGTGAAACTTTGTACATCATATGTTTATAATTTCATCCAGTAATCAACCGAAGCCTTGCACTAGCCACGAGGACCAAATGCCTTCTTGGTTATCTCAAAAGGACGTCAAAAGGATTTTGTCCGGGCGATATTTCGTATTCTGACCATCAGAAACCCTGTGTCGTGTTAATGCAGGTAACCATCTATTATTTTTATGACGAATGTAACGTAACCATTGTCCCCCTAACCTGAAATGAATAGTAAAATGCCCGACAATGTCACTTTAAGCTATTATCCAGACAGTCTATCTCAATCCATTACTTCATTATCAACAGATATTTATCATGCAATCAACGGAAAATGAATTAAGTTGACAGAATATAGAATATCCCCAGACTCTAGAACCAGCGCGATTTCTTTGAGAATAAAAACAAATAAAGCAAACCTTATTATATATCAGTTATGTGAAATACCCAAAACGGAAAATTGATTTCTGATAAATAACAAGATAGAACCTGCTTATACAACTTATATCCTACCGTCAGCATTTAGATAAGCAGTTTCAAGTGGACCCATGAACGCATATCTAACTCCAAGACCAGTTGACATTACCTTATCTAAATCTTCAGCGCTGATAATATCATCCTATAATTTTACAAAAAATAATCATTATGCCATGAAAAATCCAATTGCTATATAAACAAGCAGATGCCATGCCAGATACGCCCACATCTTGCAAGAGATGAACAGAGAACCAGCTAAAAAAAGGCGACATTTCGTACTATCAGGGACCATAATGCAGGAAGTTTTTATCAAAACAAAGCAAGATCTTTGGGATATATACATTTATTTTTAAGGTACGTCAAAATCGGATAACAATTGTGACCTTTAGAGGGTCCACAAATTTGGTATTAAATATTTACACACTATTTTTCATACAATTCGCTTGTAATTGTTTTATTTTATAAAGCCCCCATCACACCAAAGCGCGACTAAAATATTTTAAATGGCGTTGTAAAGCTGGAGAAAGTCTTCTTGGATCGCATCCTTGTCTTTTTGTATCGCATCGGGATCGCGTTCGGTGGTGTTAAGGTCTTCTTGTGTCTCATTGGTCGTGTTGAAACCGTGTGTGGGGTGGGTGAGGGTCTTGTTTGATTGTACGCGACCTGCTAAAATTATGAGTCTCCTTGGATCGCCAAACTTTTTAGATCTGAATCACATCGAGCTTTGGTCTGACGGGGGCTTTAGGAATAAATCAGGTCATAATGAGTACACATCCTGGCTGTGTATATGGTGTTTTCGATATATCTTGAGACAGTCGTTTTTACGGGAGGTCTATATTTGCGACTTTGAGTGAAGATGGCTCAATTAATATGAATCAGATGGATGTGAACCCCTGATTATAAATACATTTAATTTTGTCTGGCCATTTTATGTACTCTTTAAAACCTTGATCATTTTGTATGGAAACAATTTGCGATTCTTTTGCAAATGAGGACAACCATGATCTTCCATAATTACATGACCTTTGCTTTTAAATGGACCTTGCCATGGTTTTGTTCCATAATTTATTACCAATGAACCAACATAGGTTATAGAATTGTTTTCAGGCTATTTATATGTCAGGATAATAATTGTTGCAAAAGACAATAGAATTGTGGGATAAATGCAACTAAACGAAACAAAGCGACCATTTATCCATTCTTAATTATGACCAAGATGTGATTATCTTACATTTATAAGCCTCCAGGCTTCGCCAATTATTGAATATTGTATTCTATTCAGTACAAAGCCATCAATCTCTTTCTTTAAAACAACAGGAACTTGACCAATTCTTTCTAAAAGAGATTTTGTTGTCGGAACTACGTCATCATCGGTCCAGGGAGCAGGAATAATTTCAACAAGAGGTGCATAAAAAGGTGGATTTGTCTGTAAAAGGAGTAATTGATTATAAAAATGGTGATAATATACGTTGGTATATTCAATGCAGACATTCTGAAATGTAATAAGTTTTTTCCCCCGATTTTTTAAAACAAAATACTAATAATTCTTCATGAAAACAGCAGACAAAATTGTTTCTCAACTGATCTAGAATTTAGAAGGTGGTATACGTTATCATGTTTATATATAGTTGCTTTGAAAAGGTAAAAGATACGTCGCCTTTCCAAATTCAATATGCGTTTTTTATCTTTCAAAATATACAAAGAATTACAATACAATTCGGTTACATTCGGCTTCAATTATTGATAAAGTAGAATATTAAGTTTCTCTAAACGTGACACTGGATTATTTCAAAATGACAACAGGTTCAATATAAATTAAGTAAATGCAATGGGTAAGGGTTTAACGTCCTAGTTTTCTTTACTAAGCGCGGTAACAAAGACACGTGGATAGTGTGGATACAGTTCATTGAATTCGAACTGGCAAGAGTTATTTTACGTGTAAAACACCAGACTGAAAATTACCGGGACCTCCTAATTAGTGAGTCAGTGACCTGGTGAATAAATGCAGTACTAGTTGAGTCAAACTCGGATGAATGAGATATTGCATCATTGTTTTATTATTGCTCCAAATACATTGTGATTTCATTCTCCGTAAAATAATTATAGTAACAGTGACGTCACCCTTCTAAACACAATGGCAACATATATGTTCTCAGTTGACACATGGGCCTGGGGCTATTTTCGTCTGACTGGATACATTACCCTTCCATTCCGTTGTTAGGGTAATGACATAATTGAGAATTTTCAATTCCTAAGCTCGCTTGATTTATCAAATCAAATAACAAACCAGTAAAGGAATAATCATTAGATTGATTACAAGAAAACTCGTTTAGTCGACTCCAAATCAAGCCTTGTCCAGCCTATTTTAGTTTATGCTAATGATAATATTCCCACCCACGAGAGTAGACTGATACGTAGCTGCCTGGGCAAAAATCCTATCTCTTGTATTCCACGTCAAAGGGATAACTTTTATAAATTATTGTATTATGGACCAGGAGTCCCTTTCGCGGCGCTTCCGTAAAGTTACGACCATGCAAATCGAATAGAGTTTTATAGTAAAATGAAACTCGGCCCAGTGGTGTCACTGCTTTTATTCTCCAACCCAATGTACTGAAAAATTGCTTTATCACCCAATAATACATTCTACAGTAGATATCGCTTGTGTGATATATTTCATAATCTACTGCGATATCTCCTTAGGAGATATCGCTTAACATGAATTTGATTGGTCAGTTGAAAATGAACTACTTTTTTTATTTTCAAAGAACAGTTCATTTCTTATCAAAAGTAACTTTTTTTTTATTAAAAATAAACTATTGTTATTCAATTGACCTGGATGGAAACCCTGGGTCAATATAAAGGACTTTGCAATGGTTGAATTGCTGTCAAAAAATGATGTATCACTACGCCGTAATGTTCAGTAAAAGTGAAATCTACAGCAAAGAATTATATTTATCTATTTGGGCATGTAAGAAGGGACTGGGTGATAAATAAAATCTCCTACTCGTCTTTTTTGATATCAAAAAATATCAACACTCGTTGATAAAGTAAAAAAAAAAATCGGCAGAGCCTCGTTTTTTGTTACTTTATCAACTTGTGTTGATATTTTTTGATATCAAAAAAGACTGGTAGGAGATTCTCTATATATACATTCACCTTATTACTAGAAATTCCAATGTGCATCAATACAATGGTTTGGTTTGCAATGAACTGAATGTTACCGACTAAAGAACCAATCTTACCGGGTGGGATACCAGAAAACGGTTCCGATGCTTCAGGCCGTCTGAAATCTTTGATGGCAGGAGGGAACTTGATGAACTAGCCATGATGACATCGACATTGACAATTTTGTCCACTTCGCCCCAAACCCCTTTCTTGATGTCTAGACGCTCGGGAACACATTCCTGTTACAAAAGTAATCTATTCAAATAAATTCTAATATCAATTCCATGAGATACATAATAGCATTGTCATTCCAGAACAATCGCAAGCCACACGAAGTCATTTCGTGTAAGATTAAAACATGGGTGGCAGGGTATTATACAAATTAAAATATCGACGGGCTTCTTGATTAATATCTGACTGCATTGTAATTAATAGCTATCCTAATAAATGAACCACAGTTCACAATGCACGTTTTGAATCATTGAACTAAAGAAATGCGTGGATATCCGAGATTAATGAATAGGTCGAAAATTAATAATAGCATTTTGAATCAGTTTTAGGGCTGAATTCCCGAGTTTAATCAAATATATTCAGTGTGATTAACTGTAATTATTGGTTAAAACGAAATCATTGTTACAGGATCTGGAGCAAAAAATGAAATGAAATTAAATCTATTCATAATCGTTTAGTTGACGACTAATGTGTTTAAAAGTGCCAAGAAAAAAATTCTGAACCTTCTTATTACATCGTGATCCTTAGACAGCCTTTCAGCTACCCATCACCCTCTAGTGACTAAATATCTGAGGTTTTTAAAAACGTACTGCCTTGCAAAGTATTTTGGCATTATTGCGTTCGGGTAAATGGGCGTCAGTAAGGTATGATATTATGCTATATAACCAACAGTTACTGTTTGCTTGGCGTCGTCATATTATCAGTTTTCCAATATTAAACTTTTTCTTCAATTTAATTAGGCATTATGCATTTTTCGTTAGTAGCTATCGTACGTCGGTAGTTTTAGCCAGTGCCGAGATTTAACAGACTGTAAATGAAAATGAAAATAGTTGAGGTCGCTAAAATGAGAAAACAGAACTCAATAGATTTGCGCCAAAAATAAAATTTTCTATTTGACTGAATTTTTCATGTTGATTAGTTTTATGGAGTGCTTTCGTTGACAATTTTACGTCTATAGATGAAGCCGGTAGTGAAATATAACCTATTGGGTGTTTTACAGGAAGCCAAAGTTTAACCTAGTTAGTCGTTTGAAACTAAAGTTTAATCGCATATAACACGCCAGAGTACTTTAATTTTTTTATCTATATATAAGCTGTTTAGCTTACTAAGGAGAAAGGGTACAATTTCGTCCTTAAGAATTGCAAAAGTTACCTGTATATAAAATGCTCCTTTGACACAATCGCCTATAGTGGAAACAGCTGTTATTCTTTCTCGTTGTTCTTGTTTGTTTAAATTTCCTCTCAACAGACCCTGCTCCTGCAGATCAAGAAGTTGTTGCTCAATGTTTTGTAAGGCTTTCTTTACCTGTTCTACATCTACATCATATATCTTAACCTGGTATCCAGCACTGGCAAACAACATCGCCCAACTTTGGCCAATCAAGCCGCTAAATATAAACAAAACAAACATATATCAATGTTCCTTTGAACTGAACCCTTATCATTCAAACTCCGATTGACACCAACGATTGTTGGCATTTCAGACCTTGCATCTTAGCGGACATCGACCCACGTGTAACATTTTTACTTCAGTAATGATTTTTAAAACATCGATACTTTTATTTTGTACTTAAATCACAGACATTTAACTATAAAATAAGAATTATTTTTTAACGCCCATTGTTGCATATGTAACAAATATTTTTTTAAAAGGCTGCATGTAACAATTTTTCATTAATAGGTCTTCGGCGTAATCACTTGACTTGTGGACGAATCCAGTTCAACCATTTATCGTAGATTAGTTTGCAATAGATGATAGAAATTTGAAACGGAATTATTCACCACAAGTCTCTAAGCATGCCACTCCACCTTTGCCAGCGGTTGTACTAAACGTGGGAGTTAACAATAAACAGTTGGGGTGATTCAAATAGAAGATAATTGATTATTTAAAAAAAAAACTTTAGCAACCGGAGAAAACTGGCAATCTGATTTGATTTGACAGTTCTTTGGGAGAGAAAGTAATTTTTTGTTGTCTTGATAGTGTCGAATGTTCTTGTTATAATATTATGTCCACATATTGTCGCAACCCACGTCTTGTATAGATTTTTTTAAATTTGTTTTTCTTACTTTCCCTTAAAGGCACCGTATATCTAGATTCAAAGCCGTGCAGGGATTTTACCCAGAATTACTACCTCTGTCATATCATCTAATTGTTCAGGGTAATTCCATTAATCCAAATTCCTAAGGAAGAACCATTATCACAATCCGAAGATTTCAGATTATTTTAAGAATTTACTTAAGTTGTTTTGCTAGTAACAGCCCCGGTCATCGAATGTGATGTATGGATCAGAGTTTGAGATATGTTTTTTCAAACTTGTCAGAATTGTTTGGGTATAGTTTTGCCCAGGACCTCCATATTGTATTTGTTATTAATTGGTGTGGTCATCAAACATTTGCTATTATATCCCCTTGTCTGATCCATATAAAGCATATCTAAAATGTGGTAAAAGGCATGCACAGAGCTAGTCAGTGCCATCGTTCAAGTAATACGCTGAAACGGTATTTGTTTTGATGACACTTATTTCTGCATACTTTGGCTTTAAACCACCTTTACATTTAAAATTAATGTATTCCACTATGTAAACAACCCTATTAACCAAGTTATTGGATGTGCACAGCACGACTTAATCAATTTAATAGTGGACAAATCACGAATGCCAGAAAATGGAGGTTTTGTTTGTTTTTCGTTTAAAAAAGGTTTTGTAACACAATTACAAGTTGAATGAAATGAGTGTACTCTATAAAGACAGGGTTAGAATATGTGGTATACATTTATCATATCCATGCATGGTTGTCTATTTATGGTGTCCGTAAGGATTGGAGTTCCTAATTTCGCTGATCACTGGATGCTTGTCATTGGAAACGACACTTGGCATCCGTTAATTCCCTTGATTACTTTGATGTGAGTTAGTACAGGAAGTAATTAAACCACGGGGACCTGCATTCACATCGTAGTATACTAAGTACTATCATTTATGTGACTGGCGCTACCAATCCGATGCCTACGGTATTACAAAGTCCTAAAACCTACCAATAACTAGACAAGTTATTGACAGGACATCATCAATAATTGCGAGTGAAATAAAATGTATTATCCAAATTATTTGATTTTCTTAACGAAACCTTATAAAAATCGGATTCTTAAGAATATAAAAAAATAGCCAAGCAAAGCGTGGACATTAGCCCACAAATCCGCTACGGCGGGACGATTTACCCAATACTACCCAATACCACTCCAATATCACCACATACTACCCAATACTACAACATAATGGTGAATAATTACCATATTACTTGATGTTTTTCAAAAACATTCAAAAATATATCGGGGGGAAAGGTACTTCAAATGTGATTAACGATGTCTGGCTGTTCCATCAGTATAATAACTGCAACGAATATTTGGTAGTATTGGGTTATTATTGGTTTGTTTTGGGTGGTATAGGGAGACAAATGGAAGAGTCAGACATCGGTATCGCATTTGAAGTACATTTCCCGCGATATAGCACAATATTTTTGAAATAAATCAAATGATATGTCTTGGTGGTTTTGGGTAGTATTGGGTAAATCGTCCCACCCCATCCGCTATGTCTGGAAGGGGAGGTCGCGGAGCGCTGACAAACAGTTACAAACTCTGTGTTGTGATGCACAAACTGTGTCGATGTTCAGGGTTACCGGAGTTACAGTGTTTTAACGATTTTCAGCATTGTGTAACCCTCAGCACCTCAGTTTTTCATGGTGTGAAATATTTCGAAAATATTCTACTGAGCGTATTTCCAGGTTTTACGTGGCTATCTGTCTTCATTGTACGTCTTATTTTGTTACAAAAACACTTTTAAACAAAGGATCGAATCCCAAGAGATCAATTATTTCAATATTTCTTATATCTCTGACATCTAGGCTAACAATGATTGATGTAATTACGAGCCCCGCCCGAGAAATGTTAGTTATATTGAACCGAAACAAATTACAGGCTTGAATCTATTAATTATTTTCTAATAACAAACATTAGACGAAATAAGAATACAGAAAACTGATGTAAAATTATCGTCATCATTTTGGTATACTGAATAATTTAAATATATTAGTAACGCGATTTAATTGGTTAGCATATGGTCTGCGTATGTGAATAAACAGAATATAAAGTATTTAAGGTTACCACAATGATCCATGGAAGCCTATAGCTATCATTCACTCTTCTGGATCATTACGGTACCTTAAATTAATAATAGGCCTATTATACACGCAAAACCTAAATTTAAAGAAAACGGGGAATATGGAAATCCTTGGATGGGATTGACGTGTAAAGGCTGAAAATATATTGTTCAGTAGATGTGGAAAAGACTAAAGTCACAAAAAATAAGTTCTGATCTTAGTGAATCATCTCAAAAACTGTGTTAATGTATTGTGTAAAGAGAGAGAGAGATGGGGGGGGGGGGGTAACGTCCACTAGAAGCAAATTAAATCATTTCGAGACTAACATATGGTTCAATATCTTTCAATAATTCGCTTGCACGTTGGGGTCTTTAGCAGTGGGGAGAAATTGGGGCACCCGGGGAAAACCCACAAGGTTAGACAGGCGACCCTACTCACTTGTCACGTTTAAGCGAGGAATCGAAACCACTAGACCACCCAACCCCCATGTAAGACAGACTTTGTAAGTTGTTGTACATGTATATGTACGGGATAATTGATTTATAATAGGGCCTATATAAAAAATTATTATTGTCAGACATTTTTGGCAGATAAAATATTCCAGTTGGCGGAGAAAAAATATGAACATTTTTTTATATAAAAAGCAGTTTTCATTTTGGGGGACAAAAATCAAAGCCAGCGTGAGCCCTGATTGCACGTATTCAAATGCAACCTGGATAATTGAGATTACAATAACTTCCGAGGCAAAACTCGAAAAGTCGCCAGCACGACAACAAGCCAAAATGATTAGTCGCTAATAGCGCGATGTTTTAATTTCCTAATCTCTAATTTTCGAGTTGCTTTTTGGCTTGGTATAAGTGTTGGCGCCTTCTTACGGAAATCAATAAATACAAAAATATGACTAAGTCGAAAATCGACAAGACGGTACACAGGCCAAAATTAGAAATTAGGAAAAAACGAAGGGCGCTATTGTCACGGTGTATTATTTCTAAGTTTTCTATTTTCAAGTCGATTTTGGCTTGCATAGCGTGCTGCACACTGATCCGCAGTGAATATTCGCTTGGCCGCTACAATCACTGATAAGGATGACATCGATGCGACTTAATGACTACAAAATATTAACTTTTTTCTTTCGACAAATTAAATTCTGAAACATTTTTTTTTAGTATTAGAAAAATAAATAAAGGTGTTTGACGTATATCTTGATAAAAAATATTCCATATTTAGCGTAAATAGGTACAGAAAATAGTACGCAGAGGCGTAAAATGGGTAAAACGATATAATTCTGCCCGTACCAGTTCATATTACTACGTTCGATGTAAACAACGCACGTGTGACCATCAATTTGACGTTTTTTTCTGTTTGTTTACTCTGAATTCTTTCAGAAGTACATTTTTTACCGTCTAATCTGATTGACCTGCTCGTGTTTGTTTTAAAACAACAAAAACATGCCACAGAGGTAATCTTTTTTGGCGTTATCGACGCTATCTTGCTTTGTTGGTAAACATTGTGATGTGACGTCACCATTAGAACTATAGCGGTCTGACCTTTTAAAGGTCAGTCATCTTGGACAGAGATAAAAGACGGATGTCGCATTAGGTCTGTAAAACAGATTGAGCGTGCTGTTGCTTCACATTTTGTCGTAACTTTGATTTGTCGACTTTCGTGTTTTGAAGGGGCGAAAAGTAGAAATTACGAATGGTAGTTATAGGCTTCCATAAGAATCCCCGCAAGATTGAAAATAAATATAAATGAAATGGGGTTTAACGTCCTACTGTTCTGCTCCGAACTGGTCTAATGAAGACGGGCATACGCCATACAGTGTGTCATCAGGGAAATTATGCCCGGACAGCGGCACTACGGCCAACTCTTATATCGAATTATAACTGTCAAGGGATCTTTTACGTGCACGCCAATGTGTACACGGGACCTCGGTTTTTCGTCCAATCCGAACGACCGGACAGCTGTCTACCTTATTTATTTGCATCCCCTCGAGCCATAATATGCATAAAAATGTACATGAAAATGACAGGAACACTAATGATAAATTGAAACTTTTCTTGTCACTAGAAATGGGGGATCACGTGGCTAAGTGGGTAAGACGCTGGCTCGCTAGCCTGGAGGTCGGGTGTTCGACCCCTGCATTGGCCGAGAAAGTTCATCCAGATTTTCAGGCGTGGTTCCCCCTTGTCAGTGATGCAGGACGGAGGGCCTGACAAGGACAGCTGTCTAGTCCTTCGGATGAGACGAAAAACCGAGGTCCCCGTGTATACATTGGAATGCACGTAAAAGATCCCTTGGCAGTTGGAATTCGATGTAAGAGTAGGCGATAGTGCCGCTGCCCGGGCAAAATTTCCCTCATAGTACACTGTATGGCGTATGCCCATCTTCATTAGCCCAGCATAGGAGCAGAACAGTAGGACGTTAAACTCCATTTCATTTCATTTAATTAGAAATGTCCGATTTAAATATTTATTTTAGAGCCTGGCACCAGAGATAAAACTCTTGTTTTATCCCTAATGAACGTTCGGGAATATAGCACATATACTGGTTTATAATATGTTATCGCTGTATAATGTCAAATAATCTATCTTTGTATACATGGACACTGGTGTATATATGCTGTCCTAAGTTAAAGTTAATAAAACGGACGTGTACCTATTCACGATTTTATATAAGATACATTGAGCGAGATTATGATAAAGAGCTGACCGTTCTTATGATGGTTCAAAAATAGATAAGCAAAACGAATATAAAGAAGATTTCTGTCAAATTATTCTATTCTGAGCGAATAGCCATAAATTGTCTCCGATGACTGTCCATCGTTGGCAGACCGACTACTTCCACATTTGTGTGTACTGAGCGCCATGGAAACGCATCACTTTTTTCCCCAAATATTTTATTACTAGGTGGTTTTGTATGTATAATATTATGCAATACTATGAACTATTGTTTCACACAATGCTCCCAAACGCAAAAAATATCGGCCCGTGTGCACAAAAAAAAATTGCACGAGATGCACATGAAAAACCCAATATTCACGTGCAGCATTGTGTGTGAGCCCTTTAAAAGCATGTTTTCAACTTAATGTGCAGTACATGAACTGTGAAACGTCAATCTGTCGTAATTTGTTGTTGGGCGTGTGCAGGAATCGAGCTAGAGATGCCGAGACTTACTGAAAATCAACGGAATGAAGCCATGGGCATGTCCAGGGCTGGCATGTATACACGTATTGCCAGACATTTCAATTGTCATCAGTCCACTATTGTAAGGTTGGTGAAACGTGTTCGAGTTACTGGATCAACACGTGACCGTCAACGTCCTGGTCCACAACGCGTTACAACCCAGGCTCAAGACCGCTACATCCAGGTCACTCATCTGCGTGACAGATTCAGCCCAGCGACTCGAACAGGTGCAGCAGTCGTCGAAAGACAAGGACCAGTAAGTGCCAACACCGTAAGACGTCGTCTAAGAGAAGTAGGACTCCGTGCACGACGAACTTATGTTGGAGCTATCCTCAGGGATCATCACCGTCAGCGGCGTTTGATATGGGCTCAAGGACACCAGACATGGAGAAGAGTAGACTGGCAAAGTGTGCTCTTCAGTGATGAGAGTCGCTTTCATCTTTATCACGCTGATGGCCATCAACGTGTGTGGAGACGTCTTGAAGACTGCTGCGTCTTCGAAACGAATCGATGGGGTGGGGGAAGTGTAATGGTGTGGGGAGGCTTCACATTTCATCACCGGACCGCCCTACACATTTGCAGGGGTCTTGTCAATGCTGTAGCCTACCGTCATGATGTCTTGCAACCAATTGTTGTTCCGATGTTTCGAGCGCACCCACAACTTCAGTACTTCCAACAGGATAATGCACGTCCGCATACCGCCCGTTTTAGTATGGACTACCTGGCTGCTAACAACATCAATGTCTTGGACTGGCCAGCCATGTCTCCGGACATGGCAGCGATAGAACATGTCTGGGATGAGATTGGACGCCGTCTTTATCGGAGACCACAGATGCACACCATTGCTGCTTTAGAAGCTGCTCTTGTCCAAGAATGGAACAATTTGCCACAGGCCTTCTTTCAAACATTGGTAAATTCCATGCGACGTCGCTGCACAGCGTGCGTAAGAGCCCGTGGAGGACACACGCGCTACTGACATCTGTGTCGTACTTTTGGTTTTGACCCCTCTGACTTTGTACCGTTGATTACAGATTAAACATCCATAAGTGTACAAATGTGTTGTTATTGATGTGTTCCCATTTGAATATTGTTCACAATAAGAAGCAAAATAACTAAGATATGTTTACAGGATCATTTTGTTATACGAAAAACTAAGTGATGCGTTTTCCATGGCGCTCAGTAGTATCATAGACTCTACCGGTTAGCGAGAAATCACTTCGACACATGCCACGCACGGGCCACGCTATACAACATACCATAACAATACAAAGTAGCGAATCGGACCTTAGGATATAGACTTATTCCCGAACACTGAATAAAAATACTATTTACAGGCTAAATATAGCCAGGCATATAAACAAACTATATATTTTACAATAATATATACCTTCCTATTATACCAACTATCATATCGGAGGTAGGTGTATCCTTGGCAGCCATTTTCTCTTAACATTTAGGTTAGTTGTGATAACACGATAACCGACCTTGATGATCATACAAACTGAGTAGTACGTGATATGACATTTTGTTTGCTCAACTATTTGAGTCAAGGTTTCCCCTCTTTACTGGATTATTGTTTATGCAATAATTAGGGTTTCACACTGCGTAGCTTGTTTGAAACACTATTGTTGTTGTTAAGATTATCCTTCTTATTATTATTATTTTTCCAATTCCATTTTGATTAGATCTCAGCAACTGCCTGTCGCATCGTTACAATTTCTTCAGTTTTAGTGGGAAAGTGGGTTTGACTTAGAGGATAAAGCTATTTTGAACGTTCTGCGACAATGCGAAATGTCCGAAATCACCGAAGCTATCGTTTTTAGAAATATTGCAGTGATTTTAACAATAATCATTTGATTTTAAATTTCGATACATTTTGGCATAGCCGGAGACAGGGCACATAGCTACGGTACTTTTGATTTTTCATTTTCGGCAAATCTTCGCAGATATATGGCGCAAAATTTAGAAAATTTAAATTTTTACAAAAAACTTTTTTTATTTTTGAATATTTTTAGTCGTGTTTTACACAGAATTAAAGAGCCACATGACTTGAGCAAAAATGTGAAATTTTTTTGTCTCAGTGATTTTCCTTGGCCGCCATTGGCTAATTCTGTTTTTCAGTCCTAGATTAATTATTTATTGTTCGATTTGTATAAACCAAAGTTATTATGCTCTGTTGTCTCAATTGTCATTTTTTTTGTTACCGGTAGAGTCATCTATCGGCACCGGAAGTGGCGAAATTTTACCAAAAACTACAATTTTGACAGTTAGGTACCATTTTTCGAAAGCAAATATTATTTTTTTTAAAACTTATGTTACTAAAAGAGTGTGCCCTTTAAAGGCGCAAAAAAGTGCTCAGTTTTTATCATTTCGATTTCATTTTCGAGCAAATTCCATTAAGAGGCGAAAAAAGGTCTAAAATTGATCTATCTACAACCCATTCAGGCTTATCAATCAATATTTTTTCCAACTAAGAATTATTTTATATGAATTAATAATTTTTTTAATTTCGATTTCATTTTCGAGCAAATTCCATTAAGAGGCGAAAAAAGGTCTAAAATTTGATCTATTTACAACCCATTCAGGCTTATCAATCAATATTTTTTCCAACTAAGAATTATTTTATATGAATTAATAATTTTAACTTTTGGTTTAAATTCACATATTAATAAAATTCATACGGTTATGTTGATATCATAAATTTGATTCTAACTTGTTCGGTTGCCGAGAAATAGACGGTTTTCTACAAGTCACTTTTGAAGTTTTTTGGTCCATAAAAGTGTCAATTTTTATTCGATTTTCATAAAATTTTCATCATGTGATGCCTAATGTCAAAGTCGACGTTATTAAACTAATTAAACATTTCTAGTATCACCGGAAATAATGTCATTTGTTCAAACACTGTATTTTTAGCCCTCAAAACAGATATTTTATTCATATGAGTATCATTTGTAACGTTTTTAAAATTATGATATTTGATTCCAATCAACAAATAGAATGAACCCATACGATTATACAGATACCACAAAATGGTGTTTAACTTGTACGGTTACAGATAAATAGACGATTTTCCACAAGTCACTTTTCAAGGTTTTTGCTCTATAAAGTGGCAATTATTATTCGATTTAAATAATATTTTCACCATGTGATGCCTTATGTAATTTCTGATTTCATAAAACTAATTGAACATTTTCATTATCACCGGAAGTACTGTACACTAACATGTATAAAATGAATTGATATTGCTGGATTTGGTTGATTCTGCGACCGTTTTATTTGATGTGTGCAATGCTTATGTGGAAACATGTTTAATGGTTTCATTGGTACCGGAAATGACATATGTAACGTGGCATCGGTGAAACCCGTCATTACTGCATCGGAGTTCTAGGGTTTTTTTTTATCCTAGTCTTAAATTAAGGAAATCGTTAAATACGTATTCTTTATAGACATTTTGTTGTGAGGTGGTTCACGCAGAAAGTCTATAACAAAGAAATTTAAGCTAATCGAACGGGGAGTCGGCCTAAACCATACACTCGTGCATAATCCAAATTAGCCACATTTAGAAAAAGGCAAGACTACACCACTACTGTATGTACGTTTTGTTGTTCCTTGTCACGTTAATGGGTGATACCTATTCCCTAATATTAACACGTTAATGGGTGATACCTATTCCCTAATATTAACAATCTACAAACGACAACTTTTTAAAATGACCATAATCTCAAATTCACGACTGTAATTTTATTATGTGCAATGGTTGATCCAACATTTACACGTGTAATTATTACATGTTAAGTTTTCATTATTTAGGGATTCTTAAGCACATTTTCATAGTCATCGCAACAAATATATGGTTAGATAACAGAGTCGGATTAACCGTGGATGGAATTTAGAGCCCTTTCCTGTTGTTTTAGTTGTAAACTGAAACAAATGACTTCGTTGTCCAAATCTTCATGAGAAAAACAAACACGAGAACAAAAAAACTGTTCCGACAATTTAGATTAGTAAGGTGTTACGAGAACCGTCACTAAAAACAAATAAATGAAGAAATACGCCATTGTAAGTTTATAGAGAATTGCCAAATAAACTGATAATGATATTATCATAAACAGCGTTAATCCCGAGAAACGTTTTTTTTTATTGTAGTGAAGGTATATTTTGAAAATAGTGCCAATATCCACTCTATTGCATGACCCTTAGGTGATTCGGACGGAGCAGGAGTGCCCCAGCTGCAGCAAGTCACCGTTATAAATAGTTAATCCTGAGAGAAGTACTCGCCTTTACTCTAATCCTGACATTCAACTTTATTAGAATACAAATGACGCTTTCTATCCATTTTCTTTTTGACATTTTCAATTTCTTTAACGACTATGCTATAGGTCTGTTAGTGAAAAGTATATATACATCTGGAGCTAGTAGATTGCAATTATGAATCGCCACTGTGATTCATCTCTAAACTCAAGGGGAACAAAGAAAACATGCTGCTAGAAGTCGGAAAGAAGAAAGGTTCAGCAAATTAGATCTGTAACTGTAACTTTTAAGTTAAGTTTTTCTTGGTTAATGTTGATTATTTAAATTACCTTTTCTTTTATTACAAGAAGACAATACAATCTGTGCAGGAATTTTTATTTAGCTAATGGATTGTACTCTCGATTGCAATAGATACTGCTATCTGTTTGTTTGTTTTTTTCAATCAGAGATTTAAATATCTTCCTGAAATAATATCAAGCTACCAAACAGTAAATTATAAAGGGAAACCAAGATGCTTAAACAGGATGCTTAAATGGAATGTGGGTTTCGTGTATTGAATATCCTAAATGGTATCAATTTAACACAGCTTTATTGAATTTTTTATCAGAGATAAGAGTATTTTGGATTTTAACCGCTCTTTTCAAACTCAAATCAATAACGTAAAGTGACTTACTTAAAAGAAGCATCAAATTTATTGGAGCTAAAACTTCAATTACTATCGACTCTAACCAGAAAGGAAACAAATTAAATTTGCGTGGGTAGGCAATGAACATTTAGTCTGATGGATATTACAATCAGATAGAATTTAGACAGCGTCAAACGGCTATCCACGTTATCTTGAATGGATGTACACACAACACATAATTATCTTCCAAATAGTATACGCTTGTCCAGTCCGTCAGCTCGTTGACTCTTGCTTGTGCGCTCTCTACAGGTCTAATTTTTGACTAATCTTTTGCAAACTTTAGGATAATGCTTCTTATGAGTAGACGGTGGTTTGGATTCCATTTGAGGATAATCGCTTTTTTTTTCGTTCTGGTCCTTAAATTACTATTATTTTGCTTGTTGACGTTTGATTGATGCATCTCTTTCGATCCCTTGGATAATGAATCGTATGAGTAGACCACAATTGAGATTAGATTTGTGCGCAGTCGCTTTTTTCGTTCTTGAGTTGTGGCCTGCTCTCTAAGAGGCCACAATTTTGATACTTTGCATAGACAATTGGGATTGAACGTTGTTTCCATTTGGACAAGCTTGAGATTGATTTGTTTATCTTGACATAGACAATTTTTGCAGGTATATCCCAGTGGTTAAAATTAGTACTTTCAATCAATTTGCAGTGGGTAGCAAAGCCGGAAAATGTCCAATCACAATCTTTCCGATACATATTGTTTCATTTAGCTTTGAATTCAGATTTGTCTACTATTGCGAGAACGATTAAAAATATATAACACCATATAAATTTTGCCATACGTACATTTACTCTGTGCTGTCATGTCATTTAATTTGTCAATCATTATTTATGCTAGTATTAATGAAGCAAAACGAAAGCTGTCAAAGGCCCGTCATTTATATGCGTATCCAGTTTCCCCGGCAACAGAAAGTTGATAGCATCATCTCCCATGACACTGGTGTTTCATTTTGTGAAAATAGTCTTTACCAATAATATATTAATATTTCATTGACACCAATATACAGCAATTACCTTATAGTCCATGATAAAAAAATCCATTAATTGTAGAAGCCTGTTTAATATCGTTTAGCCGTTTACGGCCGTCTGAAATAACCATAATTTCTGTATTAGAATGATCTAGACAACAAACATTATCACTTGTTGAACCAACGTAGAATGTATCTTCAGCAAAACCAGTCGGGATATTAATGCAATGGGCCATTAGAAATTCTAGACTACCTTACTGAGTAGTTGTTCTTCGAGTGTCTATTCTTGCAATTAGTGCAATACATTTAACCCAAATTATTGTCAGAGAGAGAGAGACCCTCCTTCTTGTCATGTAAAAAGTTTGGGTCGAAACTTTGACTTACAGAATTTATGAACTGCAGCGACCCCTCCATCCTCATTGTTTGAACTTAGTATGGTATTTTGGTTTGGATAATTCGCTTAGGTAGATTTACAAAGTGCATCCGCAAATGATTTGACAATATCGTTTAGCCGTTTACGGCCGTCTGAAATAACCATAATTTCTGTATTAGAATGATCTAGACAACAAACATTATCACTTGTTGAACCAACGTAGAATGTATCTTCAGCAAAACCAGT